CTATGTTAACCAGTTTGATGGAAGTGTCTTGGATTGTGTATGAAAACACCACACTGTACCCCCAAAGTGCATCAATGTACACAGTTACCATTCAATAAAAAAAAAAAAAAAATAGCTAACTTGTGTTTCAAACTGAGTTTATCTCACTGCAGAGCCGCTGCTCTTCCCTGCACATCATACCCCCTGGTGACTGCGTTATAGCAGTTCCAGGATAAGCTCAAGATCCAAAGTAGTGGACATCCTTTTTGATGTCTGTTGACTCGACAGACTGTCCATCCTCAGGAAGGGCCTCTTAAAGGGCGAATCAGAACTTTCCTTTTCTCTCAAAGAGTACATGTTAAAAACACCTGCTCATTCATTTTGTGCAGAGGGAAGGAGGGAGTGGACCTGGTATCCAGAAGGCTCTGCATGTGACAGCCCCTCCTTTCCCTTCTGGGTACCAAGAGATCTTTTTAATCACTAAACAAGTAACAAAGTCACCTTCTTATTATTAATAATGCGTTACTGAAAACTACATTCATTCCAGCCAAAGTCAAATAGCAAAGTGATTCCCCACTCCACCTAGCCTCCTGATTCTGCCTGCATGCAAGCTTTTTCTTCCCTGCTGTGTTCTCTACACCAGGAATACTCCTCTGGACCTTTCCTAATCCACCTCAGTCACACTCTTTGCCCTGGCTACTCCATTCTCCTCCAGATCTTTGCTCAGACCTTTTCTGAGCTCCAGCAGAATATACCCACTATAAGGATCACCACCTAGCTCTTTTATAACTACTTCATATGTCCTTTTATTTTTCTCCATCAAATCAGTTGTAAGCATCTTAATGGAATAGATCATTTTGATGTTATTTTGTGCATAGGACAGGCCACTGAATACAACTGTGTATGTACCATAACTCATGACTACATCATAGGCCAGTAGGTTGTAAATTTTTGCAGGAGATATAATTTCCTTCAAGAAGCGGGGAAGGGGGTGGGAGTAATTACCCTAATTTTTAAAAATTGCATAAAATTAAGGTAAACTCCACCTAAGGATAACACCTCCCCCTTGGAAAGGCATGGAGGACCTCAAATTAATATCCCCCTTCTTAGGCTATATTCAAGGTGCCCCCAACTTACAAGCCTATAAATCAACTACAATTTTTATGGTATTTATCATCAAACTAAGATGATCTGGGTAAGAGGGATGTTTTACAAGTGTAATCCAGTCTGATTAAGTGATGATATTTACTGACTATGAGCAGAGATTCTTTCACTATAATACATCACACCCTGGTATATCTCACTGCCTAACTTTTGAGAGAACGATGAGGATATACAATAAAATATGTGCATTTATTGCTTGCCTTTTCCATTTGGGGCATTCAATTAATCACACCGATTGCTTATATTTGGACATTGTCTCATGCCATGCATGGGTTCTAACTTTTTCCATGTTAAATTCAGAGAGTGATTTTTTAGGGGGGAAAAAAAGCAAGCCACAGGAATCTGAGATTGCCAGTATGATCTGTGGATACCATGGCCTATAAAACATGTGCTGCTCTGTGTTTAAACAGATCTGTGTGACACAGCTTTCATTTGGATCTTCTGCTCAGTGTCCTGCCATTGGCTTTAACCAAATATGGGATGTTATAGGCATCCTGGCCTCCCAAAGAGATAGGGAGAAACTGGCTTGGAGACAAGTAAGTAACTCTGCTGTATGGGAGACATAGCCCTAGAGAATGCTGCTATAAATAAAGATGTTCCTATGCTTATGGGGTTTGTTTTTTTTGGATCATCATGCCCTCTTTTTCTTACATCTTATGTTTAATCTTGCAGGAGCAGGAATACAGTGATGATAGTTAATATATAGTTTTGAAACAAAAATTCAGATTTGTATTCTGATTTCTCCTTATTAGCTATGTAAGCTCTGAGCCATTTGACTATACATCCATCTATCTAAAGACTTAATAAACATCCCAGTCTGTGCTATTCTTAGCATCTGACTGCTAAGGATAGGAAAATAAAGTGAGAAGATTGCCCTTTTGGAATATTAAATCAAACGAGAGAGACATACAACAAAATCATCCTCCCTATGTTATTATAATCAGTGAAAAATATTCTGAAGCGAAGTACTGTATTGTGGCGTGAGGTCTCTAAGGTTCAGTTGTCTTATCTTTAAAATAGAGATTCATTACCTCATAAGGTTGTGTTGAAGATTAAGTAAGGTTAACGCTTGAAACACATTATTCTATGTGATAGACATTACGTTAAGTGTTGATTAAGTGGTGACAATCGTCATTGTAGTCTTGGTAGTCATACCAACCTTTAACAGTAACTCTTAGTAGTTCTAGCATATTTTAACCTTTCTTTTCGGTTTTAACTGTCCTGCACTATTGAGGTCTTTCCTACTTCATACCATCAATAGCCTTCCCAAGTTCATTCTCTTTTCTCCCTGAATTCTCTTGCCTATTGATCTCAGACTAATCTTCAAACAGTTTTTTTTTTTTTATCTTATCACTGTCTTTTTCAAATATTTACAATGTTTCATTTTGTCTACAGTCCTAAGGCCAAACCCTTCCCCTTGGTTGTCAGGGCCCAGCATTTTGGGCTTCACCCCCCCCACTCAAACTTAGAGTTCACATTTTTTTCTTCACTATCTGACCCTACTCCTCACCTTTGCTCCTCTGACTCTCCTTGCCTAGAATGATCTACCACCAGTGCAGCTCTTTGTTTTCAAACTCCTACACATTCTTTAAGACCCAGTTCAAATATCCATCACCAGACAGTAGCTACTTATTTAGAGCTTACTGGCACAGGCACTGTGATGAGTCCTTGACAGTCCTATGAGTGCTACGTAGTTAAGTATCATGGACCTTAGTTTTAGCTGAGTAGGCTGTGGCTCATAGACATGAAATCCAGCAGGTAATAGAACCAAAACTTGATCCCATACCTGACTCTAAAATCCAATTCTTATAGATCTGTAAGGCTGCTCTAATATTAACCTCCCTTGTAATGAATATCTACTACTTATCTGTATTATAAGCTATAATACTTCTTACTCTTTAGGGCCCAAAATAGGGAGTCAATAAATATTAAATAATTTGGTCATCTGTGTTATAAACTCTTCATCTTACACTGATTTTATATAAGGGTACATCTTATATGATTGATTTACTTATGCTGACATTTATACATATAATCTTATGAATAGATTTCATTATCTAACAAAGCTTTTACATTATTCATAACGATTAGGCATCAGAGCTGTTTTTTTAATTCCATCAGTAACATTTCTTCAATTTTTATTCCAGAACTGATGATTTTAGAGATATAATTTTTGCATTAACCAGAAAACAATTTGGTACATAAACTCAGATTGGCCATTGTTAATAACACTTTTGCTATAAGCATTTAAAATGTTCCTTTTCTGAAGAAAGGGCCACCGGTTGAAAGTATGAAGACTTTGTGTTCAAATGGTGCTGAGATAGCAAATGGCTCGAAAGCCCAGATAGGGAAGGACCGACCGCTTCCATCGCTCCCAGACCGTGCATCTCCACGCTGAACTCATTCCGAGCTGGAGGAAACAGTCATCAGACCAGTTTCACTTTTACCCCTGTCACAGGCACTTACATTAATGGACATTTACTTTCATCCCCACCAATTATTTGTTAGGTCATGCTTCAGTATTAAAAGCAATTTTCAGGATTAGTCAATATGCCCTAAAAGAGCCACTGAAGTGAAAAGAAAACAGTTCCCACCCACGTCTGTGCTTTGCTTGGTAACCTCCATTGTTCTGGCCCCTCCTCCTTTCTTTATAATACCACTGAAAGGGGGTATGTAGCCCATTGTTAGCGCCATTCTACTTCTAAACTAAATCCCTAAAACCTCTTGGCTCATTATGTAAAGAGTCAGTTCCAGAATATCAGGTTTACTGTGGCTATGTGATTTACCTGATTTGTGCCTCTCATTAAGCAATGTTGTTGGAGTTTACTATACCTTTGCCAGCCAATTGTGAGAATAGCAATAATTATTTAAACACAAAAGTTCGTTAATAATTCCAAAATGGAAATGAGAGTGTTGGATGTCAAGGAGACAGCATCCTACCATGAACAGTTTTTGTCATAAACAATTTCGTTTCCGTGATCAAATGTCCAGCTAACTCGTTCAGCATTGTGACCTGCTGGGAAGCTTGGCTGGTGTTAGTAAGTGTCCCCGCTTGCTTGCATCAGAGGTAGTAACTGTCAATAAGCAGTAAGCCAATCAATGTCAAAGATTTCTAAGGCTTCTAGTGGGATCATCAGCTTTCCCTTACTGTACTTTAGGGAGAAGGTAAACCCACAAACGGTGCCAAGAAGTCCTCAGACTGCCTGACAAGGTTTCAGCAGGAACTTTGGGAGCAGAGATTTGTTTTACTGATAAAACTAATCCCAGTGGCAAAGCTAAACATCGAAAGCTCCAGAGCCAAACATCAAAAATATTTTTCCATTTGCTAATTGCAAACTGCAAACAGACCTGCAGTGGCCCTCCTGAGCCGCATTTATACCTGACAGGGGCTTGCTCTGCCCTCCTGTCCTTCATTGCTTTTCTCACCTACTTAGGGTTGCTGGAGCCACTCAAGTAAGTGGAGGAGGGACATCTGAGGTCAAGGAGTGCTGTGTGGACTTCTGCAAGTCTCTGACAAGAGGTGTTCATTCCCTTAGTTGAATTTGAAGAATAAATTTTTCCCTTATTTCTGAGAATGGCTCATAAGACACAGGCTTCTGGTTCTCCTATAGACCTTGCCTGGGATGGCCAGTATATCCCTGCCCAAGTTTACTCTTGTAGCATTTTAGAGAGGTGTGCTGTGATGGCCACGTACAGCTTCCAGCTGGGCAACTAAAGAGGAGAAGAATTCTTTCCGATTAGACTTAGGAACACATATATTTTTTTAATATGTGTGTTCAGACAAAAATGCTGAAGGTTTTTACTCTCCTCACCCTCCAGGCTATTTAATATTACCCTCTCTTATTTTCCCAGCAATCATGAGGTAAAGTGTCAGTCTTGCCATTCAGAGGCTATGGGGTCAGAAGGACAACATTCAATGCTCATTCCATTATTATTCATTACATGATCTTGAGTAAATTATTCAGCTTTTTCATTCTGCCATTTCATCATTATTTGTAAAAATGACTAATTATAGTATCTTTCCCACAGGGTTCCTTCAACTATAAAAAGAGCATTTAAAATTTGAAAACATTTACCACTAAATACAAATTGGTTTCTGTTGTTACTATGATTAGCTGGAGAGTAACAACACTTTTAATTTGTTATTCAATTTAAGTCATTTAAAAATCAATTTAAAGGTATCGATTGATGTTAATTCAATGATTTTAATGAAATAACTTGGAAATAGATTGTTCTCTAAATTATATGTTAACTTTTTAGTTTCATCCAGCAACTTAAAGTGAACAGTGTTATATGAATAAAGGATTTCTCTGCTTTTGAGATGCATGACTAATCCCTTCAGAGGTAGACTGTATAATAAACCCAGATTTAAATCTATTTCAATTGAAAATCAATCAAGAAAAAAACAGTCTGAAAATCTCACCACAACACCCAGAAGCATCGGCTCATCATCATCATGACATGCCTGGTGAATGTCTTTATGTACAAAGAACAATTTAGAGACTTTCCCCAGACTTACCCCGTGAAGCAGTATTTTCATGACACATCTTCTTGAATGTGCAATGGGGTTTAGGAGTTCAGAATGGTGAGAAACCAAGAAACCTGGCATAAAAATGGAACTAGTGTTTAAAAACTCACCTTATCTCCTTCTTCTACATGGCAGATAATCTCCTCAGTTGCAGGATTAAAGACAGGAAATTTCTTGCCACTTGCTGAATCATGCCATTCATTGTTTATGAAGATCTGTAGGGATGGAGAGAAAATAGGTAAAAAGGTATTTAAATGTGTAGCCAAGTTTGCAAATTGTTATCAACTTAAGCTAAGGCTTTGCACAATGCCTACATGATGCATGTCCTTTCACTCAATTTTTTTTTTAGCTGTTTGAGACATTTTGTGTGAGCACCCATGCCCACACATTAAAATAAAGGGCTTAGTGCTTTTAAGGTTTACTAAGATATGCACTCATGTCAACCCTAGAAAATACAGCCTGAAGAAGATGATGTAGCAGGAAAGAATGCTTTTACCTGACATGGCCAGGAATTTGAGGCAAGAGGGGAGGTTTTAATGGGCTTGATCTTTAGAGAACATTTCTTCTATTTTCCACCTCAATTTCTGAACATTCTCATTTGGGGCTAAGGATGATTTGGTATCATGAGTGATATTTTCTATTCCTTCATTTTACTGCTTTACAGGGAGTAAAATCATTTTGCTGGAGTAAATGAATTTCAAGGAAGTTCGCTCAGAAAAAAATAATGATATGTTTTCACTGGCTTTTTAAAAGCATAAGGGTTTCATTGTCATTTTCAAAAGACTGATTTTTTTTTTTTTGTCCTCAAATGAGGACAAAATCATGTCCTAGATTTCTTCATGATATGTAATTCATGCACCTAAGAAAATAGGAGGCTCTAGGAAACACGGAACTTGGTCTGGGCGGGCTATAAAAGAATAGAAATATTAAATCAGAACGTCCTTTACAAAGTGTCAGTTTCAACTTTTGCATCGCTGAATTTGCATTTCATTAAGGACCCAGCTTTGATATCTCCTTCCCTTTTCAGTGGAGGACAAACATTGGACAAAGCCAAGTTCAGAAATGCCCTTTTTGTGATGACTGAGGCTGTGCTCTTTTTCTGACAAAAGCTAGGATTTCTTCGGTCTCTTTCATCTCTTTATGTCTTATGGATTCCATTTTTTTATTATTTGAAATATGAAAATAGGTCCATAGTAACTACATAATATATAATGATAAGTATAGTATTGGATGTTCCGTTACAACTTTCTGTGGGTTTTATGACAGGATGAACTAGTTCATTTAATTTGGAATCAGGGATGGCTGATATGTGGATGCATAGTCTTAAAAGAAGAGTGACTTATGAACTAGCTTCCTAAGGTAGATCTCAATTCTGACACCCCTTCTTACTTGATATTTAGAGCTATGTCATTAACAGTTCAACCCTGAGGGAGATTACCAGTATTGAAATGTTACCTCCAGGTTTCAATACATTGCCACACTGACTGCAAATTACTCAGTTATTAAATATGTTATCAAGATTTTATATTGTTATATTGTTATCAAGATTTTCTATTTCTAGATCAGTTATTTATATATATCTGACATAAAAGCAATCTTTTAAATCAACCTATGAGCCTTCTCTAATGTAGATATTCTATCACGTAGTGTCAATAACATGTCTTAAAGTTCCATCAGATTAATAAAATATATATTACTACCTAGCCCTAAATGCTTGACCATTCCATGTTTTAATTCTATTCTGTGTGTATTACAAGATTATTTAGAACAAAATATTTCCCTGGTCTCCTGTGTGTTCATTGTGAAATTTGTCACTTTTTAAGTAATGACTTTTAAATGTCTGCTTTCCCTCCCAGGCTATAAGCTCTAGAAGGTGAAGGACTACATTTGTTTGATTTGCTGGTTTATTCTTCAGTGTCCAACATAATTCCAGTCCTGAAGTGATGTTAGCCTCAGAAAATAGTAGAAAATAGTTCTTTGAGTAAGTTAAAATTGAATCAACCAAACAACAATCCATCAGCTCCCCATAGCTATGACCCGTAAAATTCTACACAGAGTACACAATGATATTTGTGATTTGCTATAAAAATGGGGAGGAGGAGAAGCCTTCTTATTGTCATTAAACAAAATGCCTCATCCTGTATATTTGGAGGCGTTCACATGCACTGCAGTGCCAGCCAGGAATTGACGGGAGACAGCCATGGGCATGAAGGGAGGGGGAGAGTGAAGCTGTTCAGGTGGAGCCCAGAGGGGCAGAGGCATGTACAGGGGGGTGTGAGAAGGGGGAAATATCAGGAAAGTCCTTGTTTCTCAGAGAGGGTGACCATATAATTCATTGTATTACCCCTTGAGAAAAAATTGGCTTCTTTGAAAAAATTGGTTCAAGATTTGAAGAAACATAAATTCAGATTTAAATGCTGATTTTCCTGAGGTCTCTTAGAATGAACCAGCACTCAGTGACCAAATGTCCCTTTCACAGACTCCTGTGGTTACTCTGAAGTGTATTTTCTATTATCCGTTCTTCCCTCTTACCTCTTAGTACTTCTCTTCCCAAGGGATGACTGGGAAAGCCCTTAATCAACTTGTCCCAAACCCAACTCACTGTCACCTCCAGCTTCATGCAGCTCCCACCCTCACTGCAATTCTGAAGTTTGGCCGTGCAATTCTCAGTCTCTCTTCTCACCCCACACGCACAGTCCCTTTGGGTCAGTCTGTTCTCTGTTACTAACCTAACCTTTCCCTGTTCTCCCTGCTGCCCATTAAATTTCACCTTGTCATCAGTATCTTCCTCAGCCAACCCAGTTTAAATTGTCTACCCCCTCCTTAGCCACCCTGGTGGCTCTCCTGTCACCCTCCTTAGCACAGCACTCGAGGGGGTTAGTGACTTTGCCCCAGTACCCTTCCCCCCCCCGCTGTCCTCCCATGCCCTCAGTTTACCCTTCACTTCAGCCTCCTCCCACAGCCTCAGACACCATGCCGGTCCCCTCGCTGGCGTTTCCCTCTT